GTTCATCCAGCTCCGTACCTTGTTATCTCAATAAACCTGGAATGTCTTAACAATGGGTACCAGATACAACTGTTGTAACTTAATCTCTCATTTCTTAGGCTTCCATGCCAACCAAGTCTGTTAATGTATTGTGATGAATGATATGTAATTTAATTATTATCAATTTTGGATTTCAAAATAGTGATAAATTGCTATTTGTTACTTCAGTGAAGGTTTTCCTTTTTGTTTTGAGACATGAAGTCAGAGTGTCCTTCTGGTACAATTACTAAATCTAGTATTGGCTTTAAAACAGGTGACTGCAAATGGATGTTTGCCTTTATAATGTTGCAGAATTGGAGCAAGTGACTAATTCTTGTCTGTGTAGACTTGGTATGCCTTGGTTATTGCTACTTTAGGTTCCATTCTTATTGATTTAGTAGTTAACCTATTTGTTTCCTTATTTCACACAGTGCTACTGAATATGTTTCCAGTGCAGTCATAAAGTCACAGTAGGAAACAAGGAGTTTCAACCTTGTCTCAATGGAATTGTTTCTTTTCTTGAACCAGAAGGTCCAGACTGCGATCCAGGACTTAAGAACATAATCTAGGTTGACACTGCAATGCAGTAGCAAGGGAGCGCTATCCTGTCAGAAGCGCTGCCTTTCACATGTGATATTGAATGAAGGTTGTGCCAATTTCAGTGGGATGTCAAAGATCCCATAATGCTAGTTGAGCCCCAAGAACATTCTCACCGGGTTCTGTTCTGATCATACTGTTTGTGAATTGGTTTTACATAACAAGATGGTCCTGAGGATGTTGAAAGCACTTTGTAATGACAAGTTTGTGTCTTTTTGTTGATCTGTACCATTTGCAGATTCTGTTCTGCACTAACTTGTTGCAATTTACTTTGCAAACCCATTTGTTAAAATATTCACTTCCTTATTCACCAATAGGGAAGAAAATACAACTGCCATTAACATATTTTGTTTCGTGCTCCTAGCTGTATTTGCAGGTCCGTTTGCGTGTAAAATGGGCCAGGCTTTTGCGACCAACCATCCAGTTCTTCCTGCTAGCATTTGCGATTTATGTGGGTTATACCCGCGTCTCTGACTACCGACACCACTGGAGTGATGTGTTAGTTGGATTCCTCCAAGGCGCTATCGTTGCTATTTTAGTTGTGAGTATTGAAGGCACAATTGTCCTGATCTTTCATGCCTTTGAAATAAATGATGTATTAACTTCAGTACCCATTCTAAGCTTTTATGCATGTGTTTGATTTTCTTAATGCCCCAGCTGCAGGTGTTAAAATTCAGCGACAGTTCCTTCTCTGATCTCTGTACATTTCTATTGGCTTGTGTACAAATACCAAATGAGAGCAAAGGTTGGATTTTTATTGCAGAGTCCTTTTCCAGTGAAACATTCTGCCAGCACACTGTATCTAAGCTTGCACATGAAGAGCGTTTGAGGTATAGAGGACTTTCCAACGGAGAAAGCAAGAAGAGCAAAGAAGTTTGGGGTCTGGGAAGCAAAAATGAAGATTAGTCAAATAGTTTCACTCCCATTTCTCTGCAGATCTTCTAATCCATGCTCCTCATTTCATGTTTCCTGTTCTATTTGTTCACGGATTCTGGATGTCACTGGCTAAACTAGAATCCATTGTTCATCTGTAACTAGCCTCCAATGATAAATATTTTGAATTGCTACTATCCATGAGGGAGTGGGTACACGGGTACGCCCATATTACTGTTACAAAGGGTGTTCCAGGAATTCAACCCAGCAACAATGAAGAAATGACAATAGAGTTACAAGTCAGGATGGTGCATAACTTAACTTGGAGGGGAGTGTGCAGGTGATGCTGTCTATATGTCAGGTGTTAGATTTTGGGGGTTTAATGACCACGATTACCTAATATTGGTAGTCGACCATTCGTAAAGAATTTTCAGATAGTTTATTAAGAAATAGTAGTTTAAATATGATATGTTAGTTAATTAGACAAAGAAGAGTATACAACTTGTGACAATTAAGGATGGTTCACATATACCAGGGGATGTATAGGTTGTTGGCACTGAATGTCTCTATCTTATTAAAGTTGTGAAGGCAACATATTGTTCTTTACTCAAAGTATTAGGGAACTCTTCCCTTACTCTTCTGGTCCATCTGAAGAAGACAGCTCCCAGACAAGGACTGCCCTCTGACCCTGAGCTCTTGGTGTGCTTTGTTTCTGAGGCTGGTTAGTTTACACTGTATCAGTGACCCATTTTAATTTCTTCAGCCAATGACCATGGGACAGTTACATGGAACTGTTGACCCCAAACCCAATTTCATCTGAAGCAAAAACAGAAGTTGCTGGAAACGCTCAGTAGGTCTGGTAGCATCTGTGAAGGAAAAAAAATCAGAGTTAACGTTTTGGGTCCAGTGACCTTTCCTCAGAATCCTTCATCTGAACGTTAGTTGTCATTTCCAAGACTAAATCTTCCTACTTTGTGTAAACTGCAGTAATAAGAGTATACACACTGTGCCATATAAATCTTTGACATTGCTTTAATGGACCTTTATGATCCTGGTAATTCTTGTAGCTTCCCTTTATCTTTACTTACTAGAATTTTGGAGGCCTAGATACTGCTGTAACAGCAGTTAAATGAGATTTCATGGGACATAAAAAATAATCAGTTTTAAAGGGACTCCAATTCCAACAGTGCCTTTACTCTTTGAATCCCTACAGCATGGAAGCATTCCATTCAGCCCATCGAGCCCACACGGTCCATCCAAAGGGCATCCCCCCCCGCCCAGAACAATCCCCATACCATATCATTGTAACCCTGCATTCCCCATGGCTAATCCATCTGATCTGCACATCCTTGGACACTATGGGCAATTTAGCATGGCCAATCCACCTTACCTGCGCACGTTTTGACTGTGGGAGGAAACCAGAGCACCCAGAGGGTACCCATTGCAGACACAGGGAGAGCGTGCCAACTCCACACAGTCACCTGATGTTGGAATCGAACCTGGGACCCTGGTGCTGCGAGGCAGTATTGCTAACTGCCTGAGCCACCATGTCACCCAGGTGGCAGTGGGCTTTGGAAGGTTGCTAAAGGAGCCAAGTCTGTGATTTGCCAGCTCTCATGCAATGGTTGCTAGTGACAAAACTTGTCCCTCTAATTAATGAATGACCAGAGATCAATGTATCTGTGAAACCGATCAAGCCTACTGATGTTTTTCTGCTCAAATCCTGATCATTCAACTTGCTGACTTCAGAGAAGGAGCCTGCCAGTTAAAATCTGAGGCAATATACAGTAGTTTCTTTGATTTAATATTGCACTATAATTCACTAACAGCATTCCAACATTTCCAGTGAGATTCTATTCAAAAAAAGGACCTCAGAAGCGCAGCCTCATTTTTGGATTTTGTGTGTGTGATGTCTTCCTCCAAAAAAGACGTTATTGATTTGTTGTATTCCTTTCCACAACAGGTGCGATATGTTTCAGATTTCTACAAAGACAGACCCCTATTTGGAGAGGTATCTGAAGCTTCAGAACCAGAGAGAAAACCCAACATTCCTCTAAGTGAAACTGAGCCTATGAATCATTATGGAACACGACACATTCCCTGACTGATCTGTGTCCATTCCATCGCCAAGAAACTGTGCTTTCCCATTGAGCATTTAAAGGAAACCTGGAATTTCCTTCCTTCGTATTTTTAAACTTTGTTCTGTTTACTGTGGCTCAACACTGAAGACACATTTCAGGCTCTGGGGTGAAAGGAGCACTGATTTACTTTTTATATACTTGTAACAATGAGACCGGAAAAAGATAGGCTCACAGATGAAGCATGTTGCTGTATTTATCACTGCAAAAACATCTTGCCAGAACATATTAACTTTGCCCTCATTTTAAAGGAATACTGCAAAATTTGCATGTCTGCCGTTTTTGAAACAACAAGAAAAAAGACAATCCATTCTTTTGATGCCCTGTGTCGTGTTTTGAATGCAAGATGTAGATGGAGTTGGGAAGCTGAATCTGTTACTAGATGATTGCTAATGCTACTCGCTGTTAGATGATTTGTGTTCATGACCTAGGATGGTGGTGACTGATTTTTTTTCTCTCTCTCTCTCTGAGCTGTCCTTTTCTCTGTAGTTTCTCTGTTTTCTTCTCACTAGAGAGCTAGCTAACTCCGTGTGCAGTCAAAGATGGAGGAAACATGGCAGGTTCCTTGCAATTGCATGCTTTAAGTGGAAAACTTGAACTGATTTGTATCTGATGTCTGAGAAACACCACTGAGGGCGATATTGATTTGATAAGGGACTTCTTGAGAATTCACTAACAAAAAAAGATTTGGATTGCCTGTGCTGTTGAGATTTCAATAGCCCCACCCTTCCTCCAAAGTACAATAGGGAAACGCACTGTTCTGGGCTCGGCTGAGCTAGCTGCTCTCTGTAAAGGCAATGTTCGAGCACTGTGTTTGATCCCAGTGCTCAGGATAAGCCAGGGAATGAGTCAAAGCAGCCCAACGTTTCTGTTCCTGATCACAGCTTATCTGACCCACAGCCATCACTAATGAGCAACATTAGACTCAACATTGCTTACAGAAGGATAGAGATGTCAAATAATCTGACTGGATTGAATTTGGAATGATACTTGTACCCGTGCAACAATGCCCAGGATAGCTCAGAGTTTTGGAGAGGAAGGAAGAAGATTGAAACTATAAGACCTGATTAGAATTTAATTGATAACTATTTTGAATACATACTTAATCTGAATGTTTTTCTGCCAAGTGCCAAATCTAGGACTGATGTGTTTACAGTTTGTAATCCCATAAAATTACAGTATCTTTAAGTAACAATATTTTCTGAAGCATGCAAGACAAATTATTTCAGTGTTACCCTGTTAACCTTTTAATGAGTGTGTTGAGTCACTGAGAACTGGAACAAAGATTAATTCCTTGCTGCAAGACAAGAGACTGAATAATCCAAGCAATAATGTAACCACTAGCTCGAACATAAACAGAAATATCCGCATTAAAAGAAAATGGCAGCTATTTGGCAGTGAAACTCTTAACCATCTTGATCCTTACAGGCTTTTATTAAATTACCTTTGTGTACTTAATGGTCTGACACTAGTTTATGTACTCAATATGATGTTACAGCGAGGATATTTCAAACTGCCATCAGATCAAAGCTCACTGCTAATTGTATTCATTCCCTATGAAGCAAGTCTCTTTGCTGATCAAACCATATGAAATTTCAGATGAGCAAACTTTGCATTTGTATCAGGCCTTGCATTTGTGTCATGACATAACTCCAGCATAGCATAGAGGTACATTTCAAAACTTTGGACTTAATAGCACCTAATTAGCTCCAGACCTAGAGTGAGACATTGCCAAGGTTTCCTGCATGAAAGATAAATATCGCAGGTTTGTTTTCTAAACACTTAATGGAATTGCCAAAATTTCTCAAATATGGGAAGCCAGTAGGGATTGTGTCCACCGAGTCCAGTGAGCAAGCATTTTAGCCTCTATGTACCAGGTCTTTCACCCCAAAGGAGAACCATGATCCACTTGTCTCTGCAACTCATTTGAGATGAGAGTAGAAGATTGATGGGCTCCACGTTGCTTGTACCCTATGCATTTAGATATGAAATAAGTAAATATGAAATTAGTACACGAGTAATCTGGAAATTAGAGGGCATGTGTTCCTCTTTATATGGGCGCATTAAACTCTGTCTATATGTTGCAGATGAAACCATACTAGATTTGATATCACCCACTGCGGGTGTGTTTTAAAAAAAAGAAAAAAAAAAAAAAAAAACTCTTTATTTTTGTTTTGAAATTGAACATTGAAGTTTTTTTTAAATTTAGGTATTTTGTATATATTTGCATATATTCTAGACATTAAGGAACCTGATTTAGGAGATGGAATTTAGCTTGTTGTAACAAATTGTTAAGGTCTGGAATTAAACTTCACCAATATACAAGATGATATGAAATATGAGCCAGTTAAATTTGTACAGCTTATTTTATAAAATCAAATAAGTAAAAACAAAGTCTCGCAATTTCTCTCAATATTCACAAGCGTTTGTGTATTTTTTAAGGCAGCCTTTTTTTCAAAACAAATAATACAGTTCAAATGTTAATAGCATGGTCAAGCTCACTGAATTAATTGTAAAGTTGCTTTAGGTTTGTGGGTGAAAAATTGTATTTCTGGTGAAATTTCTAAATTTTCTTATGTTTATAAATGCGGTATAAAGATGAGAGATTTTATTAATGATGCATTAAAGTGTTTTTTTTTAACATGGTGGTAGCGTGGTCTTGTTCTCAATTGAATTATTTCTGGTTAATTTTGAGAGTCTGGCTGTAATGCAATAAGGAATTCACACCTCACAAATTTAATCCACTACAAAGCTAGAGAGTGTGAATCAAGGTTTGAGGCTGCCGCAGGGAAGTTCTTTGAGTGAATTTTGCACCTCTGCTTTTGTATTGGTTCAGTTCATTTAAATGTTTGGGCTGCACTTTCACTTGCTTGGCAGTCAATGCGGAGCTTCTTTGCAATGATGTTACTATCTGATAAATGGACGTTTAACCTGTTGATGATCTCGTGCTAAACAATGAAGTCAAAAAGATTAGGCATTTGAGATAAAACTGGTATTAGTAATCCAGTTATAAGATATTGTTTGTCCCAAGTACACCTGCCTCATCTCCTGGTACTTGTGCTGTTTTGGTATTGTGAATAATTGCTTGTACCATTTCCTACAATAACATGATTTTTCAGGGGTCTCAACAATGGAACTTCTTTCAGAACACAGTAGCAAGAGTTAAATCATTCAACTCATCAAGATTGCTCCATCAATCAATGAAATTCATGCTCATGTATACTGTATTTTAAAGCACCACTGGGTTCTCTGGGTGTACCTTCCTCAACAAAGAGACAAGCACTTCTTATCCTACACCATGGTCAACTTCTGGACCAGCAGGTGATCTCGGACAACTCCATGACAGTGTAAATCTGACACTTGACCTCATGGAGATCTTCACTGCCATCCACTCGCCTTTGTTTCCACGCATTTCTGTTTGGTAAGTGTATTTATTTTCAGTACTGTTTCCAGGTCAAGGCAAATTAAAACTTCTGCTTTTGTTTAGCGGGATGTAGTTCCGTCCATATCTTCACAACTCTTTTTACGAAGGTCTCAATTGGTAAGTGTGAGAAGAGAAGCAGTAACCAAACCTCATGTATTTTATTTAGGCCATGACTGCTTACATTCTATAGAACCTTTCATCACTGAAAATCAAATCAAACCTAGGGCGTGATCATTCCCTGTCCCTGGAAGGGACAAGAAGGGTAACTAATCGGGTGAGTTGGCCGCATGAAGATGCTCATCTCCTTCTTAGTACCACACCAAATAAATTCTGGGCAAGAATATCCATCAGTGACCTGGATGAACACAGCAGGCCAAGCAGCATCATAGGAGCAGAAAGGCTGACGTTTCGGGCCTAGACCCTTCATCAGAAA